AAAATTTGGAAAAATCTGGATCTTCAAACCCTTTGAATTATGTTTCCAAGCATATGCAGCCCAACTCAAGAAAAAATCGGAAAGACCTTCAAATGTCATTTTTGGCCCAGTAACGCAGATGCTGCCGAATATGACCTTAAGCTGCCAAAACTTGCATAACTTCCTCTAGGAGACTTGGAATCATGAACCGTAAAATGCTCCAGAAACTAGACTTCTGCATCCTTCCAATGATACAGGGCTCATCATCTGGTTATTCTTGAGCAAGTACAGTCCAATTCGTGAAGTTGACTGATCTGCAGACACTGTTTTGAGCTAACTTGTCTCCAAAATGCATTTAATGAGTCTCAAGCTTATTACACTGAAACAAACACAAAATTTATTAAAAGCACAAGTTTAACTCAAAAACATAATCAAATCATAAGTTAGAAGGGTACAAAATGATATATAAATATGCACTGATCAGTGACCATACAACCGTGATTATGAGGGGAAAACAAAAGAAGAAATTATTGCCGGTATATATACAGAAACAGAAGATAATTAATCATCAGATAAGGAAAATGATAATTAATTAAAGCCCATGTCTAGTTATCACCAAAATCATCAAAGCTGCAAGTCAATTAATTGTGCAGTAAAGACTGTATAGGAATCAATTATGTTCGCGCCTCTACATTATCTGTTCCAATGGTCTAGTCTCCGGTGGAGTGATTGACCCGTATGCTTTAATAAAAGAGGATAATATTTGGGAGTTTTTTTATTTATTTATTGCTAAAGTTAGAAAGGGTGGAAGAGAAAACTCACAAATAGGGGTACCACAAGGCTTGAATTGAGGACCACTTGAAAGCACACTAAAGACCTGGGCCAGTCCAACTAACACCCCGTGGCTCATATATCAATGAAGTTAATTACGACAAATTTTGGCCCAATTTCTGCTCGCCGACCCATCTGACTATTGGACTAAATCCACGGCACGAGTTTGGGCTATATTTTACCAAAATTGGAAGTCAGCCTAGGACATTTCAAAGGCCCATGCCATCTCAAAAGAAGAAAAATGGAATGGAGCTAATTGTGACACACCGATCCAATTTTAACCATTTATTTAATCTATTTAATTTAATTAATTAATTTAGTTGTGAAATTTCAATTTTACCCTTGGGATAGGGTCACGTTAGTCACTTTTAGATCCGTAAGGATTGGAATTTGAGTGGCACTGTTGCGTAGAGCTCGTCGATACAAGTTCGTAGACACGTAGTGAGCCCAAATCAGAGTTTTAACGAAAAAGTTACGGTTAAAGGAAGTGTAGTGGCACAATCGTAAATTTTTCAAAGTCAAAATTTTTAAAACCCAGCTCGGTCTTTCTCTCTCTCTCTCTCTGGAGTAGACCTAACTCAGATCGCCCCTCAGTAACCTAACCCTCTCAGAGTCTCTCTCTCTTGACTCGTCTCTGTTGCGCTCGCTTACTCTCACTCCTAGTCACCTCTATAAGTCTCTTAGAGTCCAGAGACTCGTTCTCCCTCTCCATCGGAATGAAAAAACATTTATGATCTCTCTTTGCCTAGTAATAAAAGGAAATTAGGCAATAATAGATTGTAGGAATTACAAATGAAAGTACCATTTTTATATCGATATTTGAATGAGAAAAAGTAATTCTATTAACATACATTTTGATTGAAGAAACATTTACATAAAATGGGGATAGCACTATTTTGCTATCTCTAGTCAATTATGGTATGACGTACATGTGATTACTTTTCCACGTGTCAGCTTATGATTAGCCAGGGATAGAAAAACAGAGCTATCCCCATTTCATACAAGTTTTTCTCTATCAATTGGCTTCCAAGGAAAAAAAAAACCAAAAACAAATTGAGTCCCAAACAGTAGAAAAAGTATCAAGTTGAAATTATCATTGTAGACTGGAAGTTTCACCAACAATTTCCTTCACCTTTTCTCGCCCCTTATGAGCAACATTCATAGGAAACACAAACTGTTCAAATAAGGCTCAAATACAAGTGCAACGTTGAAAATATAAAATGGACATTAGAAATACAAGCCCAAATTATAAAATAAAAAAAACCCTATATAAAATGGACTTTAGAAATACACTCAAAGCCCATTTACAACATGACACATAGGCTTCAAACTTCCTATAAATTACAAAACTATCATTGATTTATTAAAACAGGCCCAACCCCAAAACTTCATAAAAAAGACTCAAAACACTCAATAGGACATCTAAGTAATTTTAAATTCAACACGGCCCATTGGCCTTTTAAGGGTTTGTTTATATATCAAAATAGTGCTATAATCGTGATAACGAGACCACACATCATGATTCTCTCTCCCCTTTTTTCCTCCATTCCACTCCCTTTCTCTCTCCTCTTCCATGCAACTTCCTCACCTTTTCATGAATAATTGAAATGCAAAGCAAAGAGAAAGCTTTTGCATTTGCTCACCTGTTGTGAGCAACATTCCTAGGAAACCCAAGAAGCCCTGTTGTGGGCTCTCCATCACATGAAAATGCGTCAATAATTACAGGAGAAAAATTATCATTGTAGACTAGAAGTTTCACCGAACCTATTTCCTCATCTTTTCATGAATTCACATTTGATGCAAAGCAAAGAGAAAGTCTTTTGCATTTGCTCACAACCAAACTCTTCAAGTAAGACCAATTTGTTTTCTGACTACAGCCAAACACTGAAACAATTATCATGGCTAACCAAGGAGCCTCTTCCTCTGTTTCATGAATTCACATTGGATGCAAAGCAAAGAGAGCTTTTGCATTTGCTCGCATGACCAACTTTCCAACTTCAGTTAAAATTTTAAGTTTGGACTTTTCCAGCTCCAACAATCACCCTTCAGTCAAATTTGTCACCGACTACGTCATTAGGCATAGTTTCTTTTATGGAGGTTTTTTTTATACATTGAATATAGGCATTTTCGATGAAACAAATTTGAGTTGTAGAGACCGTAAAACATGAAATGAAAATACACCTCTCCTTGCCTACTAATAAAATGCTGAAGAGGGAGTTTTCTAAAGAAATGAAAGCAATGAGAAAATAAAAAGAATTCAGTTAAGAAGAGTAATTTTTTTTATAAAAAAAAGTAGATTTTAAAAAAGGACATGTGTCAATTTATGGTTGAAATACATTACTAGAAAAGGAGAATTTGAGCAGTAATATTTGGGTAACAGAAGAAGAAAAAGAAATTAGGCAATAATAGATTGCAGGAATTACAAGTTGATTCCCTTGTTGAAGGAAAGTACCCTTTTTAAATATATATTTGAATTACAACTTTCCTATCTCTATTTGTAAAGGTAAATATAAAATTGCAGCTAATGAGAGAAGAACTCGAATAGTGTTAATCTTTGCAACCAAACAAATATAATGTATTCTTAGATTTCCAACTTTGCTTTGACGTAGTTCAATCAATAAAATAAAAAATAAAAAATCTATCCTCCTTAATCTTAATTTAGCTTATAAAACGTTCTTTAAAAAAAAAGTCACTTGCTTGAAAAAGAATCCTTTTAAAAATAAATTATATTAAATTTTAGTTTTGCATTTTCTAAAATCAAAATAAAAAATTTAGAATGGTGAAAACATCCTAGAGACTAGAGACTAGAGACTAGAGAGCACTTCACCGAAAGCATGTCTCCTCCTAGAATAATACAATATTAGCTACAGGCGGCAATAAACAAAGGGTCATGCTAGGGAGACCAACTTGGGAGACCAACTTGGGTACCAACTCTCTAATAGAGGTGGAGCCCACCAATACAATGGGTCCCACGCTCTATTAGAGAGTTGGTATCCCAAGTTGGTCTCTCAAGTTGGTCTCCCTAGCATTTTCCATAAACAAAACATATCCGGTCTGGTTTAACTTTGGACAAGCATTGACAGGTCATGTCAGTGAAAACGCGTCAATAATTGATGACAGGAAGTTTCACCGACACTACCTCCCCATTTCATGAATTCACATTGCCTTTTACATTTGCTCACATCCAGACTCTTCAAGTAAAAAAGACTCATATTTGGCTTAGCGAATCCAAAGAGAGAAGCAAACACTGAAACAATCATCTTTGGCTTCGATGGCCAACCAAGGAGCTGTTGGGAAAATGGCTCACCTAAGGATACAAGGTTGGTTTTGGCGCTGAAAGGAAGATTTTGAATCTGCCTAAAAGCGACCGGTCGCTAGGCATTTGCGACCGGTCGTTTTGAAGCAGATTCGAAGTCTGGAGCAACATCAACGAGCGACCGGTCGCCAGTTCTTTGCGACCGGTCGCAGGAAGCTAGCGACCGGTCGCTTAACATTTGCGACCGGTCGTTTAGAAGCAGATTCAAAGTCTGGAGGGAAAACTTCTGGCGACCGGTCGCCCATTCCTGACGACCGGTCGCTCCAGTCGTGCTGTGATG